TAATAAGTGGTGTATAAATTTTTTGGACAATTACGAATCTGCAAAATCGAAAAAAGAAAAAATTCAAACTGAGTATCAATTTGGAAAACGGACATTAGAAGGTATTATGCATTAAACAGTGTTGGGAAATGGAGGAACATGCAGTATAGGAAAATAGGGACTAAATTGAGTAGTTACTACATCTTGCATGACACCTCCATGTGGATGAAAAAACAAAACATAATCATGATGAAATGACGTAGGATACCCAATTAATGTTAAACTGAATAACTCCACTTTATTTCCTTAAAAAATATATGAAACAATGGTTAAATGATTAAATATATGACTGAATTCGTCCTTCATTTAAGACTTGTATATGAATGCCCATTATTTAGGCTCAGCTTTAAGCAGGAGTTCAGGACTTGGACTCCCGCTTTATAGAAGAAAGACATGATCTCGCGTCTGCAATGCACGAACCAAAAACAAAAACCCCGCTTGACCACACTTCATCAGTTTTATTTTCGAACTACATTTGATTTCATGCAACATTTTAATTATTGTCCTACTATTCCTAAAAGAAGAAAAAATAATAAACTTTTAAATCAAAAAACATAAATAATTCTTAATTAAAAGCAATTTTTGTTTAAGCTACATAACACACACGATCACGAAAATTTAGAGAAAAAACTTTTTTAACCTTCAAAACTCCTTATACACAATGATTGTTTAGATATTCATGCGTTCGTTTTATTTTACGAACTAAAAATTAGAAGGGAAAATGTAAATGTAGAAAAGAAAAGAAAAAAATTTAAATGTTTAGAATAATAATCGAGTTGAATAAATTAATTATTTTAAGAGACCTAAAGTTACTGTAAATTCTTCTATTACCTATAAGATAATTTAAACTACTCTCATAAGAATTGGTTCAGCAGGAAATTTTTTTGTAAAACTTAAACTAACCAAAATTTATTTAAGATCGACAATGTGACAAGACATATGAACCGGATTTCCTATTATGTGAATAAAATAAAATTTGGTGAAAGAGGTAGATCATGAAATTTGACACTGAAAAACGAAGAAAATCAACTTAATATAAACGAAAATTTACAAAAAAAACTCTAGATAGATAAACTTAATATGAATAATATTTGGAGAAAAAAAATTTAAATCCGTTGGATATAGACTCGCGGATTTATAATTGTCAGTCCCAAGTCAATAATAATGAAGAGGGTTAATTTTTTGTAACCTTCTTTCAGTTTCGTTGTTATCAAAAGTCTATATTTTAGAACTTGCATTAGGCACCTAAAAATGTTTGAGCCGTCACTGCAAATTACATGCATTATAGCCTTTTGCATTTGTGAATTTAAAGAACGGGAACGTAGGAGTTATTTTCAAACACACAACGTGAAGTAAGTATTGCATGAAGTTTTGGAATTCAGTCATGGAGTGGACACATTATTACAATTAAATGTATAGTAAAGTGAATCAATATTCTTCTATTCACCTAATTGTAAGTATGGCTGGTATCTACATTAAACCTTAAAACTGTTAATATTAGAGTAAGAAGTATCATTCAACTTAGACTTTCAATTTATGATGATTTGATTGCTCACTTGACTTCATCTTTGGAATTAGGTTTTTACATTCACTATGATTAATAAATAAAAATGTAACTGGCAAATAAGAATGATATGAAAATGACACATTAGAATTACATAAACAAACAACAACATTACATAAAACCAAAGTAAAACATGGCGGCATAAAACTGACAAAAGATTAGGCTAATACATAGTCGTCCTGCCTATGATACACGACTAATAATAGCAAAAGCATGTGAAAAGATTAGCCTAATATTGCAGCCGTAATTTAAATCCTCACTAACATACGCCAGAAGAAACCAGCGGCTACATGGTCCATTGCTTGTATCATTCCTGGCTTCACGTGCAAAGTAAACCTAGATTTGACAGTAATACCCAGTGACCCCTTAGCTTCATCGTTCTGTCTTCCGATCCGTGTCTCATAAATACAATCGCACCACTTTACGACCACAATTGACCGCCCTGAGAAAGAAAATGACAAACATACCTTTAATACAAAAAACTCACGAGTTATGTTGAAATGTTTTTAAACACGGACCAGAACGTCACATTCGAACCGGTTCAACCGGACACCGGGCAAAATTCCGGTCCGATATATGCGCAAAACCGTTCAGGTAGCAAACCGGTGAAACTCAGTCAAACCTGCGGTACGACAGGGAACCGGACTCAACCGGTTGCCCCGGCTTTAGTTTTTTCAATTTTTTCTTAACTTTTTGCTTTTTCCATTGTAGCCCCTTTTAATTATTTTTCTTCCGACATTGACTCCTAATTTCAGTTTTATAATTCTTTGAGACCCAAATTTTGATTTTATATCAATAATTATCAAAGGTGAGAAACATTATTTTTAAATAATATAAAAATCATTTAGTTCAAATAAAAATCACAATTATAAACATATTTATGTAAATGTATTTATTATCTTATCTTACCTTTAATTCTAACTGTTTATGTACATTTAACATTAAAATTATATCTTCACGCTAATAACTTTAAAATTTCAGATACGTATATATTTTAGATTCAAAATTATATATGACGTCATACCAGTCTTATCCGATATTTTGTCACGGGCTAACGGGGTTGACCCAGTGACCCCTTAGATTCATGGGTCTGTCTTCCGATCCGTGCCTCATAACAATGTCTAAATAGTAATACAATTTATAGTTCTTATATAAATACAATCGCACCACTTCACAACCACAGTTGACCGCCCTGAGAAAAAAAATGACAAACATACCCTTTCATACCAAAAACTCACGAGTTATGTTGAGACCAATGTTGTTAAACACGGAAAGGAACGCCAACGTTCGGAGCAGTTCAACCGAGTACCTGGCACATTTTCGGTCCGATCTATGCTCAAACCCGGACAGGTAGCAAACTGGTCAAACTCGGTCAAACACATAGTACGACCGGGAACCGGACTTAACCGGTTGTCCCGGCTTTTGTCTTTTTCCATTTTTATTAACTTTTTTCCTTTTCCATTGTAGTACCTTTAATTTATTTTCTTCATACATTGACTCCTAATTTGAGTTTTATGGATGATTAAACCAAAACTCTGGGGGTACTACTATCAATTCACGGTTTTTAATTAATACTTTTATTGTTGAAGACAATGACCAAATCATTATTTTCTATTAAAATGGAACACAAGTTAAATACATAATTCTGTATTTACAATTTTTTTTTTGGGGGGGGGGGGGAATATTGTTAAGAGGACTTGCCTTTTTTTTGGACAAAAATTCTTGGGTGATATCGAAATTCATCATTCCTTATTATATAATGCAATTCGTCTGCATTAATTTTATAGTTTTGCAAATAAGGTGGATTGTTAATTAAACCATTGAAACACACAAAATATCTTGTGACGGTCTGGACCTGGTCATTTAGTGTTGAATTATTTTAGGTTAATAGCATGACAATAATGTTGTTGAAATACATGAAATTGTAAATGTTATTCCCCAATTTTGATGCAGCATTCTACTCGATTAGCCCAATGGCCTTCTCCATCATAACAACGTGGATAATGATGTAAACCAGTTATTTCTATTACTTGAGTAGTTCAAAATACATATAATCAATCAATGTCTGCTATGCCAAAACATTTTGTTAAACGGAAGCCAATCTCATCATATCCAGTAGGCCTTGCAAATTCCCATATTTATCTTCACAAAACACATTTCTCAATTTGTTCTCCCTTTATGAATACTATTTTATCTTAACGCTCATTCCAATTATCAAAAAATACATGAGCAATGATGATTTAGAAGCAACAATCAATTCCAGGAGTTTTAATGTATTATCATATAAATCCTTGAAAATCACCAACAGAAGCAGGTGCACAAATAAAAAAAACTCTTACATTTATTTAAATTGCCACTAAGCCGGACAGAAACAGGGTGAAAAGAAAGAAAGAAACAAAACACTAATCCGATCTAATCTTGTGCCACTGTCAATCGCTATATGTGCCCAGAAATTTGTCAATGTATTCAACTTGTGCCTCTAAGTTGTCGACACGGGTGGTCTCAACATCACGAGCCTTAATGAATTTGGAGTAATTTTCTTCTATGGTCTTCACTCGTTCATCCAGTGCCATCAAACGTGCCATCATTTCTTGTTCCAACTGTTGAAGACGTCTCATAATCTCTTTGAACATTTGATCCATTCTGAGTTTAAACCAGAAGGAAAAAAAAACCCACAAAACTTGCTTATGAGATTCGAAGAAAAGGAAAGAACAATATATATAGGCACAACTCTATGTCTTCTTCATTTAGTCACGTAATTAAAGGAGGAAGACTAAATGTCAAATTCATTGAATCATGTAATTCAAGGTGGAAACTGAAGAAACCTGCCTCTATACATTTGTTTATAATAGGTAAAGATTTCTTAAACTTCCAGTTCATAACTCCCAATAATTTTGTCCGACCTTCCGTATCTTCAACCCATGTAATAAATTAGTCAGGAATATAAATGAAAAAGAATAATATTATTAATTATAATCAGGATTTAAATGGTTGCATATATGTTACACAATTATATAAAAGAAATCATGAAAATAAAAGCTGTGAAGGTATCATACTGTATTCATTTAATTTTTTAATCGTTTATTTCAATTGACGTGAAGATTAATTCGTTTATAGAGGCAGGCTGAAATGTCCAGCCAATTAAAACATAGGACCAACATCTTGAATGAAGTACTACTTTTAACTTCAAAAAAAAAAAAAAACAAAAACAAAAACACCTACATTCATCAAACGTCCACAACACACACACTAATGATACAACCAGTCAACGGAAAATACATAAACTACATAAATAAAAAACCAAGAACTGATGATACAAACCGTTCCCCAAAATACATAATAAACTACATGACTAACTGGTCATCAAAACCAACTACAATTTCCTATGTACTAAAGACTATGCTAGTCTAAAATTTTCAAGCTTCACTTCAATCTTTGCTTTAGTCGAAGATGACTGAAGAGTTACATCGTCCTCATCAAATTGCAGTGTCCTTTTCAGAGGGCTAGTTGCAGTGGACATCAATTGGACATCGTGTCCATCAACTTCTCCAGTGCAGGAATTTATTGAATCCTGAAAACAGTATATATTATGAACTAATGTGTAAAACATGTCATACAAAGACAACAATTGCACTTGTGGATAGATACATGATCGTCTGCACAAAATACAACGATTGAAATATAATTGTAATTTTACCTTCCCAGCCAAGCACTTAGGTGTTATATTTCTTTTCTCTGTAGTAGAAGTATCAAGATCAGCGTCAACATCCTGGCCAACAAAATATTCAGACTTTGAAGAACTTCCTGTTCATTTCAACCAAATTCTACAATGTACCAAATATACTCTTAAAAATCCGTATCATAATGTATGCGTTAATACACAAACCACGAACCTGATTTACTGACGAGCAACTCTTAAAAACATTGATTGACATTTCACACTCATCCGCAACACAGTGTACACCGGCCAATTATTGTCGATATTGTATTCAGACACCTCAATTTTGAATATGAACTTTTTACCAACCAATCCCTCCAACTCCTTTGGCACCTTAGATCTCTCATCTTCACTTTCAATCTGGTAATGCACTAAATATAGCGTGTTAGTGACGGAGTCAAAGAGCATTTTGCAGGTTACAATTTAATAAAGTTAGAATCTCAATGCCGATGATAAATACAAAGTAAAAACACAAACCACAAGTTTGATTGCCAGTTAATCTGTATTATTTTTGGAATTTACCTTCAACATGTCTTCCCTGACATGTAAAGCAGTCTTTTGGATACATTTGTAAACGTCCGTATCAAACAATAGGAAAGATGTACTTCCACTATCATCAAGAACCCTTATCTGAACCCTGAATCTGCAATGAAATAAAAATATTATAACAAACAAAAAAAAAATATTTACTAAAGAGTACACTATTAACTCATTTCAATAACAACCTCGGCACCACAGCTAAAATATTATTTTGACACTTGTTGCAATAGTAGTATGATTGAAGAGGAGCATCAGCACCATCCAACTCACCCACCTCCAGAGCTGGATTAACTTTCTTATTACATTTCTTACTTGCAATATAAAACCAACCATACTCGGATTCAATGGAAACAATTGAAGCAACCACGGCAGCCACACAACTCTGGGACATTAGGAATTGTGTCAGTAGCTTTATACACAATACAACGCCAAAATAAAATTAGCAACTTTCACCTCGTCTACTTCCTGCAGATCATCAATTCGTTTCTTCGGGTTAAGTGTAAGAAAATCATTCGGTTCAGAAATGGACGATGGTGTAGAAAGATAAGATACAACACGAATCGGAACAGCACGAATCGGATCATCGGTCCCATAAGCATTCACAATCCTGACATATTCAATCAGTTTTATGTTTCCATGAAAAAATTTATGCATCATTATATCAAAATGTCAAACAAATACCAATGATTACCTGGACTTGTATTCCATAATTTCATCAATTTCTGAATCAATGAAAAGTCGGGTAGAGAAGAGAGAATTTGTAACCGTATTGGTTCCTGTTCAAATTGCCACAATATAAAGTCATTAATGCATCTACTCATTCATGCCATAAATTATACTTTTGAAATACAAAACAACCAAAGGCGGCAACAGACCTCTCCATGGACGTATTCTGGCAAATTGTATGATCATGACGACACAACCACCCGGGTGTCCTGCAAAGTAATCCATCACGTTTGGCGCGTAGTCATCCCACAATGTCACTGTAATTTTAACCTCCCTATGCACAAAAAAAGAGGGTACAGAAACAATTACAATCATTGTCAAATTAAATTCAATTTCAACTACATCTTTTCTTAAAAAAATTCACTTACTCGCAATCTTGCATTTCTAATGTCAACCGACGTGATGGCTTTCCATTCCTGTCGCCAGTAATCAAATCGCTAACAACAACAACTTCCCCAATAATATCTGCCGTACACCATTGTAAAGCTTCCAAATCATATTCAATAATACATAAAAAACAACAACTTAAAAATGACAATGATGGACATAATAACTTCACCTATTGTTCATGATTCATCAAGTTTGCCAGCCAATAGATCAGAGAAAGACACAAATTCAAATCCGTAAGGACTAACACCAGTATCGATGTAATGGTGTACTTGTATTGTCCTCAAGAAGTTTATTTTGTACGGATGTGTGGTTGTTCTAAAATTACCACTATTAGCAGCGACTCCAAAATGGGATATAGCTTTAAAAGATCCTTCAGTGATGACCCCCAGGAAGGTACCAATCAATGACTTCTTAACGGTTGCATGTATCTTGTTTCCCTGCAAAAAAAAAAAGAAATAAAAAAAAATTGAATGTTAAGAAGAAAAAACCAGGCACAAATCATATACAATTAATCATGATTGAGACAAACCAAAAGATCCATTAAGACCATCTCTATGAGCTCTCAGTAGGATTTGAGAAAAGAGGCGGCTTCTAAACACGAATTAACCTAACTCTTATCTTCCAACTATTCTGCAGAGGAGTTATTCAATCGACGGTACTGTAATCTTCATCCATATTCACAGAAAATATTTTCTGTTTGGAAGAATATAGTAAGTTAACACTCTGTCTAAATGGCTGAATTCGACTCCTTTTATAGATGGTTACACACTGCACCATATGTTAGGCCTCATAAATTCTTGCGCTTACCGTATTTAAATTTTCATAGACACAATGATGACTGGTTAGGCAAGACACTCCGTGACGCATGCAATGGAACCAACACCCATTGGTTAAAGCAAGGGCGGTTGAACGGTGGTACATTTTTCGGTGAACCATGCAATCTACTTTATTATTTTTACTGCTTTACATTGAGGATTAAGTATACTGAAATTAGCCACCATTTTCATACATTGTTTAAGATCTAACACCTAATCAAAATAATGTTTTTTCAACTCGAAGAATATGTATATTATACTATATATTATATTTATATATTTAAACATCAATGATTTCAATATTTCAATTAAATTTCAAATTGTCATATTTTTATTCATATGTATATCATAATACTGTAATAGGTGTTCCACTTCTTTTAATTACCACTATAAATTTTCAGCTATTTGAAAATATTTCCAGAGAAGAAATGGATGATCAGGAATGGAAGACATAAAAACAGTGGTCCCGGTGCAACCAAAAAAAATGTGAGTTTGGAGGGTGTATCAAAATCAGAGCCCACGTTCTTAAAGTATGATGTGGTAATGGGCGGGAGAACCACGTTCTTAATTCTTAAAGTATTTAGGGGGGGAATGAAAAAAAAAATTAATTCAAAAAAGCCACAAAATTACACATCAGCTGAAGGAAGTTTCGGCGGAAAATGAATTCACTCCAACTTGACACGTGTCCCAAAAGAGGAAAATTAGGTAGGAATATCTGCCTCAAGGACTGCTGTTATATAGATAGATTAGCTTTTCTTCCCAGTAAAAACGTAGAATATGCATAGCACTGTTCACTCTTCCCCGGCTTACTCTTTGAGTCTATGTCAATTTAAAATGTATACATGTGCTCAGTCATACAACTTGATTTCATATTTCATGTAGTCTACTCTTTCACATTCTTTGATAGAGGCCCACCCGAAAGTCAAACTTTCAGGTTTTATCATGCATGACAAAGAAAATTTTTTACTCAACATTTTATTAATGCAATAATGATTGATCTTACATTTTCTTGTTGAAGTCATTTTAGTATCTTGTTTTATTTCGTGATTATATTGTTATACATAAGAAGACAAATATGTTTTTGCAAAATTAATGATGGGGTGGTCTCGACGCAATCAATAAATGAAGATTTTCCGTCACTAGTTGTGAACTTCGAGTGCCTTTTGATGAGATTGATCTTATGAATATTGAGCTTATTTTCATGTAGTATTTGAAAGTATTTATCGTATTTCTTTTTCTATTCTTTCTCATCAAAGTAGACATAATATAACACTTTTAGACTAACACACAGTACAACCAACGAGAACCCAACAAGCAGGTAGATGCAATAAACATTTTGTGATGAGAGATACTCTGTAGTCCAAAGTATAAAGCATAAATTTAAACCAATTTTAATATTAATTAGACCTTATAAGTAATATCGGAGGAAGAATTATCTCTTCTCAAGAATCCTGAAACGTTAATCCTACCATAATGGATGTGCCCCCATTAAATTTTAATTCTAGCTCCGTCACTGCCTGTGGTGCTGGATCGGAGGTGACTTTTGCTGATTTTATATTAACCCATTTGAGCGTTGACTCGTGGGGTTGTTGTAGACCGATCTAGTGATATAACTGGTTTCTCCGACTAGAGCGTTAGCTCGTGGGCTTGTTGTGGACCAATCTTACAGTATAACTAGTTTTCTTCCATTAGAGTGTTGACTCGTGAGCTATTCTATTTTTGTTCTGATTCAAGTCTACTGGGCAAAAAGTTCAAAGACCCATTAGACTTGAGAGAGGGTGTTAAGATGTATAATCTATCCCCACATCACCAACGTGACTTAGTATATAAGTTCAAAGGTCACCCCACTCATTGCTAATTAATTTTAAGATGGGAGTCGAAATTACTTATATACTTTGAGAGTTTTTCAAGTCTCATGCAACCAAATTCCTACTCATTTACAAACGATTACATCGTCTCAAACAAATATTTATACCCCATATCTACGTACAAACATATAAATGTATGTGACAAGACAAATTCCTTACATATTACATTATACTTCCTCCGTCCCACAAAAATAATCCAGTTTAATAAAAAAATTTATCCCAAAAAAATGGTCCAATTTCACAAAAGTTAAAATTAATTGAATTAAAATGACTTAAATATCCAAAAGAGTAGTGGTAAGGAAAACAAGGTCCACCTCCTTTGATTACATTTTTTAGTTTCTCTCATTTTTTCAAATGATTATATCCTTTAATACATGAATAATTAAAAAATGTGTTATATATCAAATTAATCTACGTAATGAAATCTTTCCATCAAGATCTATTGTCAATACTTTTTGAGATAAAAATTTTGATCAAATTTAAGTTGTAAAATAAATGCATATGTAGTTAACTTTTATAGAAATAACTAAAAGGGGTATTAGTAGAAGTTAGGGGGCATAAAATGAGTTGTATATTTGGTGTGTTGACCAAATTAAAAAAGTTATATATTTTCAAACTGGACTATTTTTCTGGGACGGAGGAACTAGTTCAAGGTGTTGTTTTTTCAATTCATAGTATTACCATTTGCAACATGCATATTGGCAGAAACGAACCGAAATTAATGAAATGAATGCCTGACCTTTATCAGATAAATTAGCCTCGTCAATGATGACGACAAAAATGATTAAACAACATTTTCTTTTTTTCCAGGGTGATACCTGGAGAGACCCTAATTAAACAACATTATACTAACTTCCTTTTCCATTAAGTTTTGTCCAATAACTAATTATAAAATTACACTACACAGTTCAAAGATAAGACTAATTCTCATAAAACAATGAAACTATTCCAAGGTCCATCCGACGATAGTATCTGACGAAGGCAAATTCTGATGATGTTGAGTTTACGATCAACTGCCTGCAAAACAAAAATTATCAATCTGATCCTAAAGTCAGGATAGCGAGAAAAAATATTATTACACATTTAAAGAAATAATGAGAAGTGTGAATTAACTCTCTGTAATTAATACGTTGGGGTATATAAATGAACCTGTAGAGGAGTGTTCATAAGTAGGTCCCATGCACCACTATGTCAAATAATAAAAATAAGAGTGACCCTCAAAATGGGTCATTGAACTATTATGTAATTTTAATACAGGTAATCAATCAAATTATTATATATATATATATATTAAAGGAAAGAAAGATAATCGACACGTATCGCTCATTGAGACCATCAAGTCTCAATTAACATGTATCATTTGCTAATTGGTTGATTATTAATCAGTTAAAATTTTTTGTAAACAGTTAATAAATTATTTACTACTCCCTCTGTCCCACAAAAATAATCTAATTTAATAAAAAATATTATCCTAAAAAAATAGTCCAGTTTAACAAAAATCAAAATTCATTGAATTGAAATAATTTAAATATCTAAAAGAGTAGTGGTATGAAAAACAAGGTCCACTTTCTTTGATTTTCATTTTTTTTAGTTTTCTCTTATTTTTTCAAATGATTATATCTTTTAATACATGAATAATTAAAAAACATGTTATACATCAAATTAATCTACGTAACGAGATCTTTCCATCAAGATCCAGTGTCAATATTTTTTGAGATAAAATTTTGATCAAATTTAAGTTGTAAAACAAATGCATATGTAGTTAACTTTTATAGAAATAATTAGAAGAGATATTAGTGGAAGTTAGGGGAATGAAATGAGTTGTACATTTATGTGTTGACCAAATTTAAAAAGTTATACAGTTTCAAACTGGACTATTTTTGTAGGACGGAGGGAGTATATAAGATTTTTACAGATATTACAAATTCCTAATTGTGAGCTTGAAAATGAATATTTTTGAAAATTGCTGAGAAACTCACGACTTCAAAAGTCCTTTCATTTACGAGTTTAAACTTTCAACCTATTGTCATTTTGGCCCTTAAAGTTCCTTTTGTGTGCTATTTAGTTTTCAAGTTTATCGATTTTATATTTTCAAGGACGATTAATTGTGTGTCATATTTTATTAGAACTACATCTAATCCCCAAAGTCCACTTGCCTATAAAAATAGGCCATATTCATCTAGACATAATTTATGTATTTTTTAAATATATTTTTTAAACCAAACATAACATTAGTTAGTGGTGACAATTTTTATTATACAACTTTTGAAAATCTTTGTTGTAATATTTTTTACGAGATCTTACAAATATACCTCTCATAAATAATATCAATACCTCTCATTTTGTCTAAAACTGATTAATCAAAAAAAATTACAATTTTAAGAAATATTAGTAACTACATTTTTTAAGAGAATAAGGACGGGTATATTTGTAACTACATTATCTAATCAATTCTTTTAAAATATAAATTTTCAACATTGACAAAGCCGCGTAAAGCGCGGGAAACACACTAGTTTATTGTATAACAGGTCACCATACTAAGCAAAAAATTCATCCGAGATCATTCTGTTAATTTTGGCAGTTAAGTAGTGACGAAAATTCATTTTTCACGTACTTTTGGGTTCAGGGTATTTTTATCATTTAATTATTTTTTAATTTTTAATCTTTTTAAAAAATTATTTCTTTTTTTACAATTCTTTTTCTTATACTTCCTAACTTGCATATACTAGTAGTATAATTTTTAAATTTCAAAAATCAATTTAACTTTTGTATTTTAACTTCTAGATTATAAAGTTTTTTTAAAAAATTTAAGAAATGAAGAAAAAAAATTCGAGTTAAAGTAAACATGAAAATTAATAGTTTACCAA